GACATGGATCAGGAGGGGGAAAGAAACACACAGACACAATTAATCCCAGAAAATATGGGGAAACATGGGAAGTGGGGGGGAAGACGAATACCCTGCAAAGCATTGACAAACATGGGGGTCCTGGGATTTGTGGGTATTTATTTGCATGTCAAAGTGAGGGGGCCGAACGGTCGTTCATTGTCCCTGGGTGCGTGGCTGAAGTGCGGATCCGTGGTGAGGATTCTGCTTGTTCTTGTTGTCGTCGTCCCCCGCGCGACCCGGTCCGCGACACCCACCCGCGACCCACCTCGCGACCCACCCGCGACCCACTCCGCGACCCAATCGCGACCCACCCGCGATCCACCCCGCCACCGGCCCGCGACCCGCTCGCGACCCACCCGCGACCCACCCGCAACCCACCCTCGACCCACCCTCGACCCACCCGCGACCCACCCGCGACCCAGCCCGCGACCCACCAGCGACCCACCGTCGACCCACCCGCGACCCACCTCCGACCCAACCCGCGACCCACCTACATTGTTTTAACACAAAATCGGCGCCTGCAGCGGGCTCGCTGTATAGCTTGAAATTAGTTTCGCCTGCGGCGGGCTTCTTCAAAGCCTCGCAGACTGCCGACGTCCCCGCGGCCCCCTCTTTTCCGCAGCTTCGGGGTGCTACGTATTTTTCTTGGCTAGGAAGCCGACTGCGGCGAACGCAAAGACAGATGCTTCGCATGATCGTACGAATGCCGAGGCGCATCACAGCAAATTCAAATTCCCCCATGGTGCCGCGTCAGACCCAGACCAATACTGATAACCGACAAGACAGCAGCCACCAGCACGACGACAGCACGGACGAAGGAGACGGCACGACGTCAGACCACACGCCCACAACACCGCCGACGCACGACGACGAAACAACGCCCGAATCGCTGGAGCTTTGGGTTCATTAGATCAAACGTGCTACCCACGACGCAGAGGCGGCAATTGAGCGGCTGCGGATCAAAAATATTGGTTTTCCATTGTGAACCAACGGACATGGAGATAGGTGAAGAAATTGAGCACTACAGGTGGGCAAGAGTGGATTCGACACGTGATCCAATGGTCGCCGCCGTGCGACCCGGCATATGAAGCAAAGCGGAAGCCGGGGCGCCCGAAGGTTAGATGGATCGACGACGTCTAAAGCCACGCAGAGAGTCATGTGGGTAATGGGTTCACGAATGTAGATGGTATATTGGGTGTTGACGCAACAGAACTTTGGACTAAGATCGATCACGATTTCTGACGCTTCGGTGCTCCAGCGCCGCACCCGCAGTGCCACAGACGGTCTTCACTTCCAGCGCCCGGCTTTCACATTGATTGGCGGCTCCACCATGCCGGCGTCCAGCTTCACCATCGCTTGACCAACCTCCAGCTTCCAGTTCCCTACACCCACCATCAGCAGTCGTCCACCAATCTCCCACCTCCAGCTTTCGACCTCCACCTTTCGACTTTCCACCTCACATAACCAACCTCCACCTTCCAAGTTCCGACTCCCACCATCATCCATCAGCCGTCGATTCCCAACATTTCACCTTTAGCTTTCGACCTCCACCTATCGACTTCCCACCCCACCCGACCGACCTCCAGCTTGCAACTTCCGACTTCCACCATCCACAAACCGATGTCGAATCCCAATCTTCTACGTCCAGCTTTCGACCTCCACCTATCGACTTCTCACCTCATTTGGCTTACCTCCAGCTGCAAGTTCTGACTCCCACCACCCACCAATAGCTTTCGACTCCCATTCTTCCACCTCCAGCTTTCGACCTACACCTATCGACTTTACGCCCCACCTGACCAGACTTCCGACTTCCGCCAGCCACCAACAGCTGATGACATCCAAAGTCCCGTTTCTAGCTCTCGACCTTCACCTTCCAATTTCCCACCTCATCTGACCGACCTCCGGCTTCCAACTTCCGACATCCACCATGCACCAACTGGTGTCGATCCCCAAGTTTCACCTCCCTCCAGCTTTCGACCTCCACCTATCACCTTCCCACCTCACTCTATGCAACTTCCGACTCCACCATCCACCCACAGCTGCCGATTCTCAAATCTTCACCTCCAGATTTCGACCTCCACCTGTCGATTTTCACCTCATTGACCGGCATCCAGCGTCCAAGTTCCGACTCCCACCATCCACCGACAACTGACAACATCCAATTTTCCACCTCCAGCTTTCGACCTCCACCCGACCGACCTCTCGCATCGTGCGGCCGACCCCCAGCCTTCAGCTTCAGACTCACAGCAATCACCGCCAGCTACCACCATCCAGGCTTCCACCTCCAGCTTTCGCCTTCCAGCCTCAAGGGCATGATTTCCAGCTTCATGGGCAACATCTGATCAGGCCTCGCTTTCGCACGCTCCAGCGCTCCGGCGCCGCACCCGCAGCACCTTAGACGGTGCCCATGTGCGGGCGCGCTTCGTGCTTCGTGGGCCTCTTTTTCAGTCGACATGGAGCAGGCGGGTCTTGAGGCAAACGGTTGCAGCTTTTTGTCTGCTGGGCCATCCAAAGGGTCCTGGGAGTGTCTGCTAACGGCTCCAGGGCGAGGAGTTGGTCTCGGGGAAAGGCCCTGGTGTCCAGGGTTATGATGTTCCAACCTACTTTAGCGTTGACCACCAGAAAGAATCTCGAGCACCAAGAAAGCATCGGGATTTGGAGGGTTTTCGCGTGGCGGGCCCTGAAAGGCGATGCTCATTCGACACTGTTTCGATACTTTTCTGGGTGCTCGAAATAATTTCTGGGATGTGGCCTTAAGTACGATGGGAGCAGCGTAAGTCCAGGGCCTCTTTCCCTCGAACTCCGTTCGCGCTTCACGCCGCCCTGCAAGTGCTCCCCCCCCCCTTGCGCCGATGCGCACTCGATGAGCGCACGGTCGCGGGCGTGGCTCAACGGCCTCGCTTGCGAGGGATCGGGAGCCTAGGCGCCCGAGGGAGGCAGGGCATCCTGGAGGTCGGCTCCTGCTGGTGAGGTGGATCCTGAGGGGGCGTGGTGCCTTCCTGGGAGGAGGAGGAGGAGGAGGAGGCATCAGGAATATCAGGAGGAGGAGGAGGAGGAGGAGGAGGAGGAGGAGGAGGAGGATTAGGAGGAGGAGGAGGAGGAGGAGGAGGAGGAGGATTAGGAGGATGAGGAGTGGAAGGAGGCGCGGGAGGAGGAGGAAAAGTAGTAGTAATAGGAGGAGGAAGAGGAGGAGGAGGAGGAGGAGGAGGAGGAGGAGGAGGAGGAGGAGGAGGAGGAGGGGGACAAGGAGGGGGAGGAGGAAACTTGGAAAGAGGAGGGGCAGGCGGGGTGCGGGTGCGGGGGCGGAGGAGGAGGAGGAGGAAAAGGATGGGAAGGAGGAGGAGGAGGAGAGTCCGCCGCTTGGATTCTCTAGCGTAGCCATACTTACCCGTCGCAGGGTGTGCGTAGACTGAGTGCATGGATGTAGCGGTTTGCTGGCAAACGCACCCGACGTCTTATCGACATGCATTGCATCATAACCCCGGCATTTCCATATATGTATATACCATTTCTTATATGTGTGTTCGAAGTCGATCGGGTTATGAATTGGAACATGTGTTTAGAGTGCGCTCGGCGTCGCTGCCAAACCGCGCTGTTGTACATGACCACATTTTTCGGTTGAAACGTACCTAGCTTGCGGTTTCACCCGTTGGGTATCCGATGCTGTGGACCTGAAGTTTGGCTGGAACGCTTTCCCAAGAAGTGGATCACAATCTTAACAATTCTTGTGCCTGTGCTTACTCGTGTTGCGTCGTGCGCCGCTCTCTAAGTTGGTCGGTTTCGGGTGCAACGCTGGGCACACAATTCGTACGTACGCGTCCCCTACATAGTATATCGAGGCTGCGGTTCCACGGCCTCGGCTTTGGCGCACCGTCTCCGGCCTACATGCGATTGCGAAGTATGTTGACGTATCCCGCTTGCCTCTACTACGCGATCGTGATTTCACATCGTTGGGCGAAACACATGTGTCAGTGCTTTCTGTTGTCAGAGTGCGCTGACCGTGCTGTGCTCCATCTGCTTCACATTTTGAGTGCACCAGCCATGCCGTCTCCGCTCCAGTAGCTGATGGGCCTGGCCTTCCCAGAGGGGGTCAATTGGCGGCCGCGCGCGCCACGGTTTTGAACGGACCCCATTAGGCATGTTCGACCTCCTCCATCTTGCCGGCTCCTCTTACCCCCTTCGCCTCCTCCGTTCCTCCTCCGCCTCCTCCCTCCTTCGAGTTATCCCCCCCGCCCTCTTCCCCCTCCCCCCCTTCATCCTCCCATGTCAAGCGACGAGTAGAAATCACACATTTCAACGACAGTGGAGCTAGAGCCTTGGGTTGATTTTATCTGGAGGGCAACGCACCAAGTGGAAGACCACCTTGAACGACTAAAACATTAAAGTTGGGCGGTTGGTGGTTGGCGGTTGGCAGCTAGATCAGCCCACATGGACGGAAGTTAGTGGACATCGTCAGTAATACGTTGGGGCCCTGTAACCACTAGTCACAGTGCACGCTGGAAGCCCTGGAGACCGAAATTGCGGTGGCAAGATTCGATTTTCATCAACAACAACAAATACATCACATCATCATGGTATGAATTTGCACAATATTTCAAAAAGCAGGGTGTCAGTTCGAAGATGGCTCTGCGTATTTCGACGAGCTCCTCTGAGGAGTCGCAGAGCCATGTGTTTTCCAACTGAGTGTCTCCACCCCTCCCCTCCCTGTTCCACCACAGACAGCATGCCGATGTTCTTTCTCCTCCAAGCGGGAGTGCGCTCCGCAGCGCTCGCACTCTTTCAGAGGACCGCCCCGCCGCTGGCCGGCACGCGAGCCGCACTCCGCATTCCGCATTCCGCGTTTCCTTTCCTCCTCCTTCCTCTCTTCAGTCTTCCTCCTCTTCCTCCTCCCTTCTTCCTCTTCCTCCTCCCTGCTCGTCCCTCCTCTTCGTCCTCCCTGTCCCTCGTCCCCCCCCATCCCCTCTGCGCAGGATAGCGCCATGAGGTCTGCGAAGCTGGCGGCCCTGGCTCGCGCTGGATTTGGTCTCGATGCTCCAGTGGTTCTGGAGCTGCCGTCCGACGCGGAGGCGATCGTCGTCCCTCTCTGCCGGCCCTGCTCTCATTCCAGAAGTTGTCGGGTGCTCCCTGCTTCCTCCTGCTTTCCTTTTCCACCAAAATGACCGCTAAAGGTCTTTGATTTTTGCCCCCCCCCCCCCCCCCCCTCCCTTCTCTTTCGGCGGTGGATTGGACTGGTCCTAAAGCCTCCTCCTCCTCCTCCTTCCTCCTCCTCCTCCTCCGTGGTTGTCGTCGTTGTTGATGCTCGGCGGGTGCTGCGGAACAAATACTTTGTTACCTCCTATTGGTGGGACCCCAGTCCTTCAATAAGGGGCCGCTGAAGACCTTGCAGGGTGAATTCCTCTCTGTCGCACTCCTAGGCGTGTCGGTGCTGTAGGACGGGCCGGGCGTTTCGCATGAGTTCCCTTCACCGTTTGTGATCCTGAAGCTCGAAATTCGCGCGCTCGCTTCACGGATGGAGGGCGTGTGGTTTTCAAAATGTGGCTCTGTCTTGAGCGTTGCACACATTCTTTTGAACAGTTCGAGGCAGCTTCGATGATGGAGGACACGACGTGTTCAAAATGCGGTTCTCGCCTTCGCGCCGCGCGCAAAAGCCTGCAGCAGCTTCAAGGATAGAGGGCGGTTTCTCTTCAACATGTGACTCTCGCAGTGGCGCCACGCACAGTCGTTTCCAAAGTGTGCGACAGGTTCGTAGATTGAGGGTGGCTCCGTTTCAAAATGTGGTTCTCGCTTGAGCGCCGCGCACATTTGTTCTGAACATCTGCGACAGTTGCACGGATTTGCATGGTTGAAGCTCCAGGAGTGGTGTTCTGGCAAGGCTGCGGATTGTCAGGACACAGCAGGTGTGTTCATCCGCGGTGTTGGTGTCCCCCGAATGGTGTTGTTTCCTTCCTACCCTCTCTCATCTAGTTTTATACAGTTATCTGCTTATCTAGCTATAGTTGCTGGTTTTTGTTATCTAGCTATGTTAGCATAGTTTGTGTGTGTGTGTGTTTCTCTTTCTCGCTCTCTTTCTCTCTCTCTCTCTCTTTCTCTATTTGTCTTCTTTCCAATTCCTTCATATGCAGTGTTTGTTTGTTCTCTCTCTCTCTCTCTCTCTCTTTCTATATATATATATATATATATATAAATATATCCAGATTTGAGCATGGCGTGCGAATCAAGGGATGCCGAGTTCGACGCTAACCCACGTCCATGATACACATACATGCAATCATCTGCTCCTCTGCTTCTCCTCCTGATCCTCCGCCGCAACCTCTTCCTCTTGCCTTCCACTCTTCCCCCTTCTCACCCTGCCCTCTCCTCCCTCATGGTTCGCCCCTCGTTTTCCCTCTCGTCGGTGCGTCGTGGCCCCCCCCCGATCATCCGCCCCTCGCGGCGACAGGTCGAGGGCAACATGCTGCCGGTGGCGAGGATCCTCGCGTGCCAGGGCGCAGAGGAGGCGGGCGCCTCCTTGGCAGCGCTCGCTCGGGGCTGGCGCAAGGGGGGCCCGGCGTTCCGAGAAGGCGTGGGGTCAGAAGGCGATCGTCCACCGATGCCGCTACCTTTCCCTCGTCTTGTTTGTTTGTCTCCCCAGGGGGGGCTTCTCAGAAGCGCCCGGAGGCCTCTAGGACGGCTTATCAGAAGGCCCCCCCCCCTCTTCTCGTGCCGCCCCCCGTGTGCGCGCTGGCAGGCCTTCTCTGGGGGCTGGTCCTGTCTCAGTCAGTCCGGGGGGCGAGCCAGAGCAGCAGAAGTGGGGCGGCGGCGTGCTTCGCCGTCTCGCCGGGTGGATACGCAGTGCCGCCTGGACACCCTTCCGCAGTGCATGCGGCCACCTGCGTTCCTTCGCGATATCCTTCGTTCTCCCCGCTCTCTAACAGGACGTGCCAGAATGAGCCTGAGCAATTGTGGATACCACGTTCTTGGTCCATCGTTCGGCGGGCCTTCCTATTGGGCCACGAACCGTGTGAGGTGTGTGCCGAAATGGGCGGGGAACCGAGAGGATGGGGCCACGAGACGCTGCACTGGGCCGCGAGCAGAGGCACGGATAGGGAGGAGGGAGGAGGCAGCGGGAGGAGGAGGAGGAGGAGGAGGAGGAGGAGGAGGAGGAGGAACGCGGGGCGCTGTCTCTTCAAAGCGAGGGCCCGCCACCACAGCATGGTTGGGAAAAAAGAGTGGCGCGGTGGAATTCGCCTCCCCCACGACTTCGGGCAGCAACCATGGATGGCTTCCGGCGCAAGAGCGAGAGGCCGAGAGCCAGACGTCCCCACAGCAGTGCGTCCAGGGAGCCTTCCCGCCGTGGTCGTGGCGGACCCGCAGAGCCTCCCACTCCGATGCAGGCGAGGCTCTCTAGTTCCCCAGCCCTTGCCGAGCCACACTCTGCCTCCCCCACCCCTCGCCCAATTCCGCGAGCACGCTGGCCTTCTCAGGCTTCGCGGCCCCGAGGCGACCCTAGGGCCACCCTTTGTTGGGAAACACAGGGGGGGGGGATCGAGCCCACTCGGCGGAGGCACGAGCGGATTCGGGTGTCCATTCGGAGGCCAGGCCGAACGGGTTCAGGCATCGAACGGCGTCAGCAGTGGGAATCTCTACGTAGGACCACCGTCATGAGTACGTAGGCGAATCGTTTTTCCACTGGGACCCTAGCGCGCAGCTCTTTTCGTGCTCTGCTGCGGCGCGGGCAGTTCGCCCCGCCAAGCAGTGAGGAGCTCGACCCCCTCGGGGAGCTGCTCGTGTCGGTCACGCGCCGAGATGGGCAGTGAGAGGGGGAAAGGCTTCCCAGAAGGAGGCTGCTTCTCAGAAAGCCCGGGCCCTGTCTACAGATGTAGGGCCGCGCCCTCTAAGAGGCAGCCTCCTTCTAAGACGCCTTCCCCCCTCTCCCCCGAATTACTGGCGGAGGATGCTGGCGTGGCAGCAGGGCTTTCGGCGCGAGCTGGCGACTCACCCGCGTTACAACGGCAACCGCTTCTCTACTGGCGTCTCGTTGATTGGGCCGAGGCGCCGCGCGCTCGTGTCCCGCACGGGCACCAGCCGGACCGAAGGACGGCTGAGCCCAGGCAGCTCACAAAAACGGCCAGCCAGGGGCCTCTGTGGTACCCCATTTCAGCCGTGTTGGAGCCCTCTTGGGCACCTTGGGGGGTATTTCGGGCGTTCTTGTCGTACACCTGCGTGCACCGTTCACACGATTCGCGGTCCCCGGGAGCATGGGGAGTCTGACACCCCCAGGTCTAGATGATTTTCTGCTGCTGCGCTGTCATGGTGGAGCAGCAAGTGACTGCCAGCGTGGGCCCGAAATGGTGGGTTGCATTCTCGATGTGCCATCTCCAGAGGACGAGTTGAGACACAGGCAGTTGGCCTTCGGGGGGGCCCTCGTCGCCACGGTTGGACGCAGCTCGGGAAACTGGTGCCCTTGGACCCTGGGAGGGGTCCGGGGATAGATTTTGAGTCGTTGTTGTTTCAATTCGCCCTGCTCGTAGGTGACCCCAAACAGTGGGCTGCATTCTCGATGCCCGCTCACCCACAGCGTGTTCGCAACATGCTACTGGCGTAGTGACACGAGGACCCGTCTCATGCAGATCCTAGGCTCGGGCGGGCGATTGATGCTGATGATGCTGGCGCTGACGACGAGGTTGACGACACCGGCGATGACGATGATGATAATGATGATGATAGTGATGATGATGCGGATGATGATCATGATGATGATGGTGATGTTGATGACGGCGGTGGGGATAATGACAATGACGATGGAGGAGATAATGATGATGGTGGTGGTGATGATGCTCTTGATGATGATAATGACGAAGCTGCTGAGGATGATTCTAATGATAAAGATGATGAGGGTGTTGCTGCTGATTCGGACGATGATGATGATCATGATGATGACGATGCTAATGGTGGGGAGGATGATGGTGATGTTGATTGTGATGGCGATGAGGGGGATGAGGATAAGGATGGTGATGCTGACTCTGGCGATGATGCTAACGCTGGTGCTGATGAGGTCGACAAGGACGTGCACACAGAAATTATATTACTTCTGGCAGGGTGCGATGTGAAAGCGCACATGCACATTAATTTTCAGATGTGTTTGATAAGCTCTGTGTTGGCATGCCAGGGGGACGTTCGGTTTTGGAAGTGTTTTGCCATGCGCGTGCGGAGGCGCGCGCGCGCAAGGACCGCATGCTCTTAGTTGGCGTGCTTTGCGGGTGCAAGACTGTTGCTGCATGATTTCGTCATGCGCGCGCTTGCGGCCCACATGCTGTCTGTAGCAGCATGGCGAAGCATGTGCATGTTCTGTGGTATGGTTCGAAAGAGCCTATGCTAACAGACTTCGGTTCTTGCCAATTGTGTACCATACCCTGGATGGGGCAATCATCGCCCCCCTCCTTGGATCCGCTGGGGTGGGTGGGCACGTGCTGTCGGAACGGGTGGAAGGGGGATGGGGGAGGAGGATGAGGAGGAGGAGGAGGAGGAGGAGGAGGGGGATGGGGGGGAGTAGGAGGATGAAGAGGAGGGAGGGGGGATGGGCAAGCTCCTTCGGAAGGTTAGTCGCCCACTCTTCTATTCATATGCCACCCAGAGTATGTGTTCTGTCTCACCCCTTGAACAAGAATGGCTTTGACAGGTGGTCGCATGCTGCCCGTATGGTCTCGTATTGTAGGGGTTCTGACAAGACGCTTTTCTTAGACCACCCCCCTGGGAGGAGTAGCTCCCACTTCTGTCCACGTGAAGGAATCCATACCCATCGGTCGTTGAACGTAGGATTCCAATATGCTTTAAGGGCCTTCCTACTTCAATGACCGAGTGGCTTCACATTTTCCGTCCTCTTCAGAGGACGGACGGACACCCAATCTGTTTTCAACGCTTTCCTACTTCATGTTTCTACCTACTTCTTACGACCGATGGGTACGTCGCCAGTCTTGTCGTGCAGCTTACAGTGGAGGCTCATGCCAAGAGAAACTCTGCTTGCCTCCAGGGTGCCCAAGGTTTCTTGGGTCGCGATGGTTTTGCGATGGAAAGCGCGCCGTTCCCACACCAAAAATCAATGGACGTCCTGGGGCCTCAGGGTTGGGTTTCTTGTGGAAGGTTTATTATGGTCGGGCCCGTACTGCACTTGGTGCAAGCAGTCTGTCTATTGGTTGCCCGCCACGCGGTGCAAGTTGTGCACCGCGCTGTGCAAGTTGTGCACCACGTTGCGGTTCAGGCCACGCTGTGCAAGCTGTGTGGTGCAAACGCCAGCCAGCGCAGGGGCTGTCCACGATGCCGACACGGGCAAACACACGGCGAAAAGTAGGAAGAAACATGCCAGCCCATGCGGCAGCCAAGAGGCGGCCACGGGCGGGGCACCAGGCGGAAAACCGGAAAAGCATGCCGGCTCACGGGGCGGCGACGATGCCAACACGGGCACCAGGCGACAAGCCGGCAAGGCATGCCAGCTCACGGGCCGGCCACGAGGCGGCTACGGGCGGGCACCGGGCGAAAAGCCGGAAAGGCGTGCCAGCTCACGGAGGCCGGCCACGGGGCGGGAGCGGGACGGCAGCCGGGCGAAGCCACGGCCAGGACTCGTCAGGGCACGGGGCGGCCAGGAGGCGGGAGCGGGCGGGCACCGGGCGAACGCACGGAGGCGGGCAGTGGGCGAGGGCACGGGGAAGGCATGCCAGCGCAGGGGGCGGCCACGAGGCGGCCACGGGCGGGCCCGGGGGGATCACTGCGGGCAGGCGACTGATCTCCTAGGAGGCACGCGCACGATGCGTTTCCACTTGGCATCAAACAGCGGTGCGCGGCGATCCTGGAAAAGGCCGATCCTGCGCTCGGACGCGGCATTCTGAGGATAGGTGTGGGGGTCAGGTGGAGCCCTACTTCATCACACTTCATCTTCCAAGGTACCCGATGTCTGGATTGCTTCCAGTATGCCCACAGAGAGTATTCCCGACCTCGTCCCCGGGGCCTCATTTTTTCGTTATCGCTTCCTTGCGTTGAGGTCCGGGTCAAAGCTGGCGCCCTCCCCTTCGCCTAGGCCAGGTGTGCACGCCCCAACCTGCTGCTCTGTTTTGTGCCCGCTGTCACTTGACTTGTGGCCGCCTGGGTCACGTGGGGATGACCGCGCAGCGCCCCTGTCCATTTGTGCCCCGGCCCCGCCCTCCCCTCGTCCTCCGCCTGCGGCCTGCGATGTTGGGCACCTCGGCCGGGGTGGCTGCTCGTGGCTGGCCCGGTTCAAGCTGGCCACTGCATGTATCACGCAGTGGCGAAGCGTCCTGGCTCGCCTATAGTCCTACCAAACAATGTTCTAAGAACCTTCTGTGATTTCCACGAAATGTTCTTAGAACATTTCTGATTCAGACTGTCTTGGTTTAACACATCGGGCTAATGTTCTCAGAATATGGTTTTTGTTCTTAGAACATTTTCGGGTTCTCAGAACATTTCGTGGTAGGCCTATAGAAATGCCGGGACGGTCGGTCCCTGCTCAAATGCAGGCGCTTTTCCCCCCTCGCCTCGGCAGCTGCTCGCTGGGCGTCTGCCGAGGACAGCCCTCCGCCCCTGCCAGGTGGAGGCGCTGATGAGCCGCTCGTGGCTGCCCGGCGACGACGGGGGGTGGCAGGCGCCGGCCGCGCTCGTGCCAGCGGGTCGTGGCGTCGTCGTCGGAGTCGCTGTCGTCGGAGTCTTTGTCTCAGGAGGTGAAAAAAACAAAAAAATAAAGAAAAAGAACACACAGACACAATTGACCGTCGACTCCCCAGAAAATATGGGAAAATATGGGCAGTGGGGGGGAAGACAAAAACGTAGAAAATATAGGAAAATATGGGACTCCTTTGATTTGTGTATATTCATTTGTGTGTCCCAGGGCCCCTTCATTGTCGTCGAAGTCGTCGGGTCGGGGCGGGAAATCGAGATGGAGGTGGCGGCGGTCTCATCAGGAGCACGATGCAAGATGTGCCCATTTCCCGAACTTGCAAGTTGCTCTGGCTCCTCGCCCTGCACTCCTCCTCCTCCTCCTCCTCCTCCTCCTCCTCCTCCTCCTCCTCCTCCTCTTCCTCTTCCTCTTCCTCCTCCTCCTCCTCCTCCTCCTCCCGCTCCTCCTCCTCCCCCCCCTCCTCCTCATCCTCCTCCTCCTCCTACTCCTGGGGGCCCAGGCACTCCTTCGGCCCTCCGGGGCACAGAGCGGAGGGTGTCCCTGCGGCCAGCACCGCCCCGACGCAGCGGGCTGCAGGAGGGCTTCGGCGGCGAGCGCGGGGGGAAAGTGAGAAGGGACGGACCTTCTCAACATCGCAGGCCTAGAGATTGACACCAACACCAATTTCGGCGGTGTGCCTCCACCGAGGGAAGAATGTCCCGATCTCGGTGATGGTGGTAATATTCTGGCTTCCAAGGTGGCCGAACTATTACCACCAACACCGAAAATCTAGGACCATCTTCCCCCTGTGGAGGCAACCCTCTGTCTTGGTGTTGGTGCCAATTTCCAGGCCTCCGACAACAGGCCCGGAAGTCCCCCAGCCTTCTGCGAAGTTTTCTAAGCCTTCCCCGAAGACAGAGCAAACTTTCTCAGAAGGCGCGGGGGCTTCCGAGAAGTCCCGCCGCCTTTGAGCAGGCCTGCTCCTTCGCACTTCCCCCCTCCGAGCTCGCAGCTCAAGGGGAGGAGAGCTGCACAACACTATCACAGGCTCGTGCGCCCTTCCCCTCCGCACATCGTGAAGTGAAGTCTGCCGTTCCACAAGTGCGATGCAGTTCTTCTCCACCGCGGTGGCTGAGCAGATCTAGCTCTGTGCGCGCCCTGGGCTGCGTTCCAGGAGGAGGGAGGAGGACGAGGGGAAGGAGGGAGGTAGAAACTTTGCCTCGGTGAGGGCTTGCGGGTTGGGAGCGTGGGTAAGGGGATGTAGGATTGCGAGCTCCTTTTTTGCTTGCTCGAATCGAAGCCAGACAGGGTTTTTCTTGTTGTTCCCACTCTTCGTCGTGCCTTTTTCCTCCAGGTCACAAACTGACTGCATTGGGGTAGCATCATCGCACGGTTTTCTAAGGCATGCTGGACGCATCGTGAGCCGGCTCGAGCCCATGGAAGCCAGAAAAGGCGATCATGCGAACATCTGTCCAAATCCTGAGGTCAATCCATATTTTTCGCCTCTTGGGGCCCTCCGGGACTCCTGGAGGTTCTCAGGGAACCTTCTCTTGGCTCGTCCTGAGGGCCCGTGGGCCGTCTCGAGGCCACCTGAGGTCGTCTTGGGACCGTCTTGAGTCGTCATGGCGGCATCTTGGGCCACGCTGGCGGCCCTGGTGGCTTGCCTGGGCCGTCTGGGAAGCCATCTTGGGCACCTTGGGCGCCCGAGAGCGCCAGGGAAGTGTCGGGCCGCGCAGGCAGCCTCGGGAGGAGAGGCGGTGGGGCAGATCGTTCTCCTTGGTGCAAGTGCTGTTTGGGCATGTACAGGCGAGCGGTCATGCAGATGGGAAGACCCAGCGCCAGGGACGGCAGGAGTCGTTAAGCCTTTACGGCTGAGGAGAATGGAGGTGCTCGCGGGTGCCTCCAACGACATACATCCACGCTGGCTTGAAGACGTGCCCCTCCGAGTTTGCCTCTCCGGGCCTCGATCGTCCGTCTCGTCGTCGACGCCGCCATCGTCCTCGTTCCTGCCGCATTTTGGCGCCACAGGTGTACAACTCCGGCGTCCAGCTGGAGGCGTCGCGCCGGCTGGGCTGGGCCGGACGGGCCCTTTCTGCAGCATCTGGCCGTGGTGCTCGGACGTCCAGCACCATGGAATGCGAGTGTGCACGTTCGTGTTGCAGCGCGGGCTCCTCATGGCGTCTTGACGAGTCGTCGTGACTGCCAGGTCGGGTCGTGGTGCTGCCTGCGAGTGGTGCCAGCTGGGCGCGCCACACCAGGTCGTGCCGTGCAGGCCTTCCTGCGGCGGTGGGGAGGGTCGGGCCGGACGCAAGGGCAGGGTAGGGAAGCGGGGGGGGGTACGGAATCGGTTGCATGCAGCTGGTTTCCACCCCGCCGCCGGGCCCAGTCCTCGATGCATGGGCGCCTTCGGCGCCAAGAGGCGCCAGGAAGACCAGGTGCTTGAGCTGATTCTCTGCCCTATGGGAACGAAGAGTTGCGTAAACATAGAAATTCGGAGGTCCGTGCGGAAGTTCCCGGCGTCTTCGGATAAGGCTCAGACATTTCCTCATATGCCCCCGGGGATTTCCGAGCCTTTTGAGAAGGCCCGCCCCTTCTCGTGTCCCCCCCGGCCGCGCCGCCGATCACAGGGGCAATCTACAAACATCGTGCCCCCAGGTTTGGGCCACTTTTGCACACCGACCCAGCTCCGCAGTCTTGTGCCAGACGAGCTTCCCTGTGGAGGTGCTGCGCACAACCGTGCTCTCAGAGCGCAGGGCACGGGAGGCTGGAGAGGCTGCAGAGATTGCTCGCGCACTGCCGCCGCCGCAGTCCAGGCGCGCTGGCCGACCAGCCCAGCCGCGCAAGTTGTCGTCGGCGCTGGCTGTCCCTCGCGCCCCGACGAAGCGCGTGGAAGCAGACGAGGGCAGGCGGGTGCAGGCAGGGACGGGCGCTCGTGACCCCATCCCCCTCCCCCTCCTCCTCCTCCTCCTCCTCCTCCTCTCCTCCTCTCTCCCTCCTCCTCTCCTCCTCCTCCTCTCCTCCTCCTCCTGCTCCTCCTCTCCTCCTCCTTCTCCTCCACCTCCTCCCCCTCCTCCTCCTCCTCCTCCTCCTCCTCCTCCTCCTCCTCCTCCTCCTTCTCTTCCTCCTCCTCCACTTTCGCTTCCTCACAGAGCGCTCCGTGTCGCGGGGTCGCGCTCGCGGAGTTCTTGCATTGCGGAACGTGCGTGCGATCTCGTGGATGCCACGCAGCGGTGTGGGTTTCGCCCCGTGGCCAGCGCAAAGGGCTAGAAAGGGTGCGTCAAGCGAGTTGCTGACCTCCTCGGAGCCTTCCCTGTAGGCCATTGTCCTCTCCTCGTGCTTCGTTACCCCTCATGTCCTCCCCTCGTGACATCTGTCCCCCTCGGTTTTTCATCCAGTGATGTTGTCCCGCAGTATAAGCAGGGAATGTCTGCCCTCCTTGAACGTGTCAAGGCCAAGGAGCCACACTCGAAAGCATACATTGTCATACCCGTGCCTGTCGTTGGTGGCATCACATCCCGACCTTTCCAAGGCGCTGCCTTGCATTATCTTATCTCTTCCTCCCCCATCTTGCGTCATCCGCCCTCCTTCCACCTGTCTGCTCCCTCATCCTCCTCCTCTTCCTCCCACTTCTCCTCCTCCTCCCACCTCCAAGGGGCCCATCCAGGCTCGCAGTTGCCCGCAACGCCCGCACGATCACAACGGGGGCGCTCCCCTTGCGGCCTCCGCGTGGAGCTCTCGGGCGGCTGCGCTCCATGCCGTCCCGTGGGCACTAGCGAGCTCGGTCGAATGCGCACCATTCAGAGGAGCACGAGGTCATGAGAATGATGCGTTCCTTCCCAGGTGTCCGGATGTTCCACACGAGCTGCCGAAACGAGGGCCGCTAGATACTTTGGAACTCCTGGGACGTATCCCGAGCCAATCCTATCATGACATAAGTATGTTCCGAATCAGTTCCTACGTCTCAAGAAAGAGGCACAAGTTGTTTACCGTTTTTTGGTTTCCGGATGGGGGCGGGGCGGAGCGGCGTCATAAAATTACTCACTGCGTGGAGCTCCTCATATGTGCATCTATTCGCATGGACCTGTCCGCCGTGAATGTCTAGGCGCAGGAGCTTTCGAATATAAACGGGCTTCAGTTGTGACGGTCTGGACATGAATCTATTGGCGAATGCATTGGAGTGTGAATGAGCCTCAGTAGTACGAGCGCGTCTCTGCGCATGAGCCTGGGGCCTCCTGGGGCCTCCTGAAACCTACTGGGGCGTCCTCGGGTCTCCAGGAGCTTATTGGGGCCTCCTGGGACCTCCTAGGGAGGTTTCGTGCCCCAGGAGAGGCCCAATCTATAGCAACAGACGGACATAAAACGTTGCGGATTAAAGCCACAGGAGAAGGGCAATCTATAGGAACACGCGTAAAACACCAAGGACTCGTGCCCCAGGAGAGGCCCTATCTATAGGAACATAAGTAAAACATGCACGATTGTGTACACAGGAGAAGGACAACATATTTATCTATATATACATATATATATATGTATAGAAACATACGTATAACATCAAGGAATCGTGCTCCAGGTGAGGCCCAATCGATAGGAGCACACGTTAAACACATGGGATTGGAGCCATTCCTGTTGCCTTCTGAGGCCTCCTGCTCCTGGAGCCTCTCGAGGCCTCCTGTTGCCTTCCGAGGCCTCCTAGCGCTTCCTGTGGCCTCCTGGGGCCTCCTGTGGCTTCCTGCGGCCTTCTGGAGCTTCCTGGGGCCTCCTGGAGCCTCTCGGGACATTTGTGGCCTCTTGAGTCTTTCTGTGGCCTCCTGATGCCTCCTGGGACCTCATGTGGTCTCCTGGGGCCTCCTGGAGCATGTTGGAGCCTCCTGTGGCATCCTAAGAAAAATCTGCGCCCACGAGCCTGGTCACCAAAACAGGCAAACCGATCGAGATATCCTCAAACTCTGGCCCACCTGGGGGGTGAAAATGAGTGCCTCGCTCGAGACAACCTCCAAATCTACTCCGACAGCGAAGGCTGCTGGGACAGGAAACCAGCAATCCGCTTGAGACATCCCCGCAAAACGGCCGCGAACGGGACCGTGCAATACCCCTCGGCGGCTCCCCTTAGGGACGTGACAATGAGCGCCTCGCTCGAGACATCCTCCAAATCTGCTCCGAAAGCCAAGGATGCTGGGACAGACAACAAGCAAACCGCTTGAGGCATACCCGCAAAACGGCCGCGAACGGGACCGTGCAATACCCATCGGCGGCTCCCCTTAGGAACGTGAAAATGAGCGCCTCGCTCGAAACATCCTCACACTCTGCTCGGATAGCCAAGGATGTTGGAACAGAAAACAAATTACTCGACGCGGGGCTCCCCATATGTGCATCTCATTCTCTTGGTACGTCTATTGATATCTGTCAATGAGCGCCGGTGTGCGAGGGCGAACCGCTCGCTCGAGACATTCCCACAGTCTGCAAACATGAGTGCGACCAATGGCAAATCTGAGAGCGACTGATTCTGAGTGTGAGTTAATCTGGGTGCGATTGAGCCTGGGTTTGCGTGGGTATGCGTGTGAGTAAATATGAGCGCGAGTGCGTCTGTGTGCGAGTGGGTCTGAGTATGGACGAATCTGAGTGTGAGCCAGTCTGTGATTGAGCGGATCGTAGCATGACGAGTCTGAGCATGAGTGAGTCTGGGTTTGAGTGGGTCTGAGTGTGAGAAAAAGTGTGTGTTAATGAATCTGAGTGCGAGTGAGCCGAGTGTGATTGGGTATGGATGTGAGGCAGTCTGAGTGTGAGTCGGTCTGCGTTTGAGCGGACCGAAGGATGATGAGTCTGAGCAGGAGCGAGTCTGAGTATGAGTGGTTCTGAGCGTGAGTTTGAGTGTGAGTAAGTTCAAGTATGGATATGAGCGAGTCTAAGTGCGAGTGAGCCTGCGTGTGACTGAGTCTGAGTATGAGTGAGTATGAATGCAGAAGGGTGAAGGAGAGCGGAGAGCGAAGGAGAGTGAGGCGGAAGCGTTTGGAGTAAAACCTAAAGCCTTGGAACATCGAACCTCGATCGTCTGGCCCTGGCTACTCGAGTTGCCCACGTCCTCCTCCTCCTCCTCCTCCTCCTCATCGTGATCATCATCCTCCCCTTCCTGCTTCTGCTCCTACCGTGTTCATGCTGTCCTCCTCCTCCTCCTCCTCCTCCTCCTCCTCGTCCTCTCCTCCTCCTCCTCCTCGCTTCCTCCTTCTCTTCCTCCTTCTCTTCCTCCTCCTTTTCCTCCTCCTCCTCCTCTTCCTCCTCCTCCTCCTCCTCCTTCTCCTCCTTGGGAGTGCTGAAACCAGCAACTCGCCTGAGACATCCTCCCAAAACTGCTCCGAAAACGACAGATGCCCAGCATCATAACGGCCAAACCGCCTGAGACATCCCCGCAAACTGGGCGCGAACGTCCTCCAAATCTGCTCCGAAAGCGAAACATGTTGGAAGAGAAAATGGCCAAACCGCCTGAGACATCCCCACAAAATCCCGCGAAAGGGGCCGAGTGCAATACCCCCCCGCCGCTCCCCTTAGAGTGCTGAAACGAGCGAATCGCCTGAGACATCCTCCGAATCTGCTCCGAAAGCGAAACATGTTGGAAGAGAAAATGGCCACACCGCATGAGACATCCCCACAAAATCCCGCGAAAGGGGCCGAGTGCAATACCCCCCCGCCGCTCCTCTTAGAGTGCTGGAACCAGCGAATCGCCTGAAACATCCTCCAAAGCTGCTCCGAAAGCGAAACATGTTGGAAGAGAAAATGGCCAAACCGCCTGAGACATCCCCACAAAATCCCGCGAAAGGGGCCGAGTGCAATACCCCCCCGCCGCTCCCCCGTTAGAGTGCTGAAACGAGCGAATCGCCTGAGACATCCTCCAAAGCTGCTCCGAAAGCGAAACATGTTGGAAGAGAAAATGGCCAAACCGCCTGAGGCATCCCCACAAAATCCCGCGAAAGGGGCCGAGTGCAATACCCCCCAGCCGCTCCCCTTAGGAGTGCTGAAACCAGCGAATCGCCTGAGACATCCTCCAAATCTGCTCCGAAAGCGAAACATGTTGGAAGAGAAAATGGCCAAACCGCTTGAGATATCCCCACAAAATCCTGCGAAAGGGGCCGAGTGCAATACCCCCCCGCCGCTCCCCTTAGGTGTGCTGAAGCCACAGAATCGCCTGAGACATCCTCAACATCAGTGTGTGTGTGTGTGAGTCATCCGATGAGTGGACCTCAGTGAGTGTAGTGAATGTATGAGTACAAGTACGAGTGAGTCTGAGTGATGAGTGGGTCTGAGTGATGAGTGAGTCTGAGTGATGAGTGATGAGTCTGAGTCATGACTGAGTCCGAGTGATGAGTGAGTCTGAGTGATGAGTGAGTCTGAGTGGTGAGTGGGTCTGAGTGATGAGTGAGTCTGAGTGATGAGTGAGTGGGTCTGAGTGAGAGGAGTGGTGTGTTCTCTCTTTCTCTCTCCTCCGGCGCGGTCCGCCAATAACAAGAACCCCATGCTTAGGATATGGGGAACAAGCCGCTTGGGACATCCCCACAAAACGGCCGCGAACGGAAGCGATCCTCCTCCTCCGGCTCCCCCCGCAGGCGAGGGCCCGCGCGGTGGTGGCGCGGTGGGCGGCCGACGCCATCCGCGTGTCGGACGCCGCAGCCGGGCGGCTGCGCGAGGCGAGCCCCTCCTCCTCCAGACTCGAGCACACTCAGCACCTGCTCCTGCCCCTGCCCCTGCTCCTGCAACCTCCCCATCCTCCTCCTCCATCTCCTCCTCCTCCTCCCTCCTCCTCCTCCTCCTCCTCCTCCTCCTCCTTCGCTTCCTCTTCCTCGTCCTCCAGGCTCGAGCATACCCAGCACCCGTCAGTCACGGATGAGCTGTTGCGTCTGAGAATGCCGTGACTTTCAACGTATGTCGCGAGCGTGTCTTGGGCCCTCCCCCCCAGGTGGCGGCGCCTGGCGGGGGCTGCTCGGAGCCAGGCCCCGCCGCGCGCGCCCAACCCTTTCGATGTTCAGACTGGGCGCTGGTGGATCCCTAGTCGAAAACCGACCCCGTCTGGCTGAATCCCATGCGCAATCCAGCCTAATCCCGCTGAGTCTGGCTTGATGCCGTGTCATTTGGGGCCAAGTCTTGGGGCTTTCAATCTGGCCTAATCCTCTTGTTGGTGGCCCCGTATACTAATGCTCCATTGGCCTTCTCCCTTCTGACGAAGACCTCCAAAAGTAGCCCCCAACAATCCATTCGAGAGATTGGAGTGGAAACCGGCACCAGTTCGTGCCAAGTTGGCGCGTTCCAGAAAGGACACTGCCTTCCAGGGGTCGAAGGAGCCTGCATCTCTTCGGCGGAAGGCGGACGGTTGGCGGAGGCTGGTGGAAGGGAAGCGAGCGCGGTTCCCATAGATGACAACTATTGGGGACCCAGGGCTTCCTGAACCAGGCAGTTTGAATGAGGGTTCGCTGCCAGCGTCACCGCAGGCGTCGACCGCTTCAGAAGAACGGTCGCCTGCCCAGCCCTGGCTGCTGTCGGTTTGGGGCCAGCGTCTGCTGTTGGGCAGCGTGCCTGTGCTTGTTGGTGCCCATCCTGCGCACGCCAAGCAGCCGCAAAGGAAAACAGGTGAGGCCAAAGATGCAACCTCTTCACGGTAGCTAGCACGCCTCTGTTCTTTCCTCGTTCCCTCCCTCCGCCCCCCAGCTTCGCGCCAGGGATCTTGCACTGTTGGATTCAAGTGTTGTTGGCATTGTTCGCTGACGCCCGCGAAGCCTTAAATAGAAATCACTAGGGGGGCATGCATCGACCCCCTGATCGCCGATGTGGGCCCGATAGCCCCAACCTGCCCAGGAACGTGCGCATCCACCATCGGGGGCCTAATTATCGCCGATCTATCGTTGATGTATCACCCCTTCGAGGTCGATGTTTCCCCGGGGGGAGGGAGGAGGGAGGAGGTAGGAGGGGGGGGGGGCAGGGGGGAGGGGGAAGGGGGAGGGGGGAGGGGGGGAGAGGGGGGAGGGGGGGGAGGGCAAGCTAGGTGCGCTCGCGTCATATCTGACGTCCTACCCCTCCCTCCCATCCCTTACCATGGCGCTGATTTTCTCTATCCGCGGACGCGTGTCGTAGCGGACCTGTGGCTCCGCGCGCGCGTGCGGAGTGGGTGGTGGTGCGCGTGCGTGCGTGCGTGCGTGTGTGCGTGGTTGTCGTGGTGGTGGTGGTGGTGGTGGTGGTGGTGGTGGTGGTGGTGGTGGTGGTGGTGGGGTGGTGGTGGTGGTGGTGGTGGTGGTGGTGGTGGTGGTGGTGGTGCTGGTGGTGGTGTGGCTGGTGTGTGCTGGTGCTGGTGCTGGTGCTGGTGGTGGTGTGGTGGTGGTGGTGGTGGTGGTGGTGGCGGTGCGGCGCGGTGGTGGCGGGCGGATGGGCGCGCGAGAAAGAGGCCCGCGCTGGGGCGAGAACGCCATCCTGAACGACGGAGGCCAAACACCGATCCGAAAATGAGGCCCACGCTGCAGCGGGAGCACGATTCGGAACGATTCGGGAGCAGAAATGAGGCCGGCGCCTCAACGAGAGCAGCATTTTGGGGAAAAAATGACGCCGGCGCCTCAGCGAGAGTCGTTTCCCGAGATTTCCCGGGAATCTTGTGTGTAAAAAAACAGTACGCGGAGGGTGCGCGGCCATCACCCGGACGCCATCAGGGGAAGAGGGAGAGTATTTTCATATTGAGTAATTGTGGAGGGGCCCTATGCCTCCCCCTCCCCCTGGTTGCCCCTCGCTGGCCATTGCCCCTCCCGGGGCTGACAGAGGCGCCGCCCCCCCTGGTCGGCGGCCTCCTCCGCGCGACGGGCGGCGGGTCCCTCTTCGCCTCGCGCTCGGTCTGCGCCGGCCCCCCGTGGTCGGCGGCCTCCTCGCAATGCAGAGGCGAGGCGTCCTGGCGGGCCAAGGGGCCCACTGAAGAGTGTTCTAAGAGTCTTCTCGTGGTCTGCAAGAGGTGTCCTCAGAGCACTACAGTCGGGGCCCTGAAGAAGGAACCCTTTTCGTTGGGGAGGGGCTCCGCGTTCCTTAAGTATTTCACAGCTTGCCTCAGGCTTTCCTTACGTTTCCGACAGGAAGTCGAAGGTCAATTTATGGAAGAAAGGGGCCTCGTTCCTTATTTAGGGTCCCTTAGGTCAACGCCCCGACTGTGCTGGCCGAGACTGTCTTGTTCTAGCACGTGGGGCTGAGGTTCTAGGAGCACTGCTGCTGTTCTGAGGACGTGTCTGAGAGAGGGTCTAAACTGTCGGTGCTCCCGTGCGGGACGCCCTGCATACTCTGCACGTCTATATTCTTCCATTCCGTGTCTGAATCTAAGCCACGAAGTGTTGTAAACTATAATGTTTCCTGAGCGTCGTTCGTAGCGCATTTAGACACGAGTGTGAATTTAGACATTTGCCATACACTTACACACGACTATACACGATTTATACACGATTTAGAGATGTTCTGGTAGATGTTTACACGAATGTAGACACGGCTCTGATTCATACACTAGTGAAACACAATTTAGACATGCCGCGCGTCTAAAATTAATCGGCCCGCTGGGTTTAGACACCTCGCTAGACACGGCGCAGCATGACGTTAGACACGGCGCAGCATGGCGATTGCGATGATGGCGATTGCGATGATGATACGCTCCCATTGCAGCGGGATGTTTTGTTTCACGTTGTCGGCCGCGCGCGCTGGAAATTGTGGCGTCGATGCGCGTGCTGATGACGAGTGCGAGCGAAGCGAGTGGAATCGCATTGAAGACGGTGACGATGAGGGGGGGAAGAGCATCCCTGAGGGGGTAAAGAGGCAGATGAGGCAAGCGGGCAGACGGCGGGGAACTGGAACGTGGCACAAACGCACACACACACACGCACTCACACGTACGCGCTCACGCAGTCACGCATGCTCGCACGCGCACACACACACACCTGCATAATCACGCACACACACACACACACACACGCACGTGCAGGCGGGAAGCTTTGTGGTCGCCCTTCAATCGCACGCTCAAGTTGCAGGGCATCAAGGTGCCTGACGATGAGGGACACAAGGTGCTTACGGATCAGGTCGACATGGTCGAGGCCCTCCGCAACCACTGGGCCCCGATCTTCCAGGTCAAGCCGAAGGTTCCCGACTGGCAGGTCCTAGCGGGCAAGTACATCGCAGAGCACGCGCCGCAGCTGGAGGTGGCCGACCTGCTCCCCCCTGATCGGCAGGCGCTGTTGCGCGCTGCTGCTCGAGCGAAGGAGTCGGCGCCTGGGCCCGACGGCCTGCCGTATGCAGCCTGGCGTGCTTGCCCTGCTGCGCTAGCGGCGCTGGAGGACGTGGTCCTGGAGATAGCGTCTGGCAGGCCGCCGCCCGTCGACTGGAACGACCACCTGCTCGCCTTCCTCCCGAAGGGTTCGTATGAGGAGGATCTAGTGGAAGGCGCATTTCGCACGCCGTGCACCACGCGGGCGATTGCGCTCAAGAATGCGGACTGCAAGCTGGTGGCCTCAGCGGTGAATGCGCGGATCAAGGGACCCATAGAGAAGGCTTCGCCTGCCCCCCAGCGGGGCTTCCTGCAGGGCCGCAACTTCCTGGACAACATCTGCCTGCTGGACGCCACCGCGCGCGCCGCGGGGCTGCAGGAGTCGGGCAAGCCCATCATGGCTCTGTTCGACTTTGGCGACGCGTTCCCTTCGTTGAGGACCGAATGGATGCTGCTCATGCTGATCCGCTCGGGATTCGTAGGAGGCGTTCGGTACGTGCTGGAGGCGCTCTACTGGCTTCCCACGGCGTATGTGGAGCTCGCGGGCGCGATGGTGCGTTTTGTTTGCGTCTCCTGCGGGCTCGCCCAGGGATGTCCGTCCTCTGGGAGTCTCTGGGCCATTGCAATGAACCCGTTCATCCATCACATGATGCAGTACACTGACCGCGATGCCAGTCGCCTCTCCGCCCTCGGGGTATGTGCTGACGACGTCGGAGTGGTGCTGCGGTCGCGCCACTTGCTCCGTGGGCTGTGGCGGGCCTTCGCTGCTGCTCGGGCGCTCGCCAGCTTGCACCTGAAGCTCCACAAGTGCGTGCTGATCCCGCTGGAGGGCAAGTTCTCAGACGAGCTCGTCGCAGATCTCAGAGGATGGCTGGCCGAAGCTTTGTGCGAGTGGAGCGGCATGCAGGTGCGCGACCAGGCGGAGTACCTGGGCTTCGCTGTCGGCCCTGGCGCGACGCAGCGGGACATCTGGAGGAAGGCGGCGGCAAAGTGGCTCTCCCGCGTCGTGGACATCGCGATGAGTGGTGCGGCCCCGTCGATGGCTGCTCGGCTTTATAATCGACGTGCTCTGCCTGTCCTGGGATATCTCCAACAACTGGCGGCCACCCCGAAGATGTTGCTGGCCAAGGAGGGGTGGGCGGTCGCCAAGTTGTGGCGCATGCCCCCACAGGCGCTGGGCAGGCATGACTTCCTGGCCCTGGGTGCGTGGGCGCCTGGCCTTCGTATCCGCTCGTTGCTGGCCACGGGCTGTGCAGCGGCCATGCGATCGGCCCTCTCCACGGTGAGCAACTGGAAGGAGCTGCACGCATGGCTGCAGGCGCAGGTCCTGGACCACGGGAGCCTATGGGTCATTGGCAGCGGCACCTTGTCCCCGCCGTATTGGCAGACCAGGCCAATCGTACAGTTCCTTGCTTCTGCGCAGGAGGATTTTGCGAATGATCGTGTGCTCGCGCGTCCTGCCGCCGCTGCGAGGAAGGCACTCGTCCGTGCCTACCGCGACGCAGCTGAGCGGGGCGTGCGGGTGCGTGCGCAGAAAACATTGTATTCTTCTTTGCACGCCTCGCTCCATCCCGACCTCCTCCACCTCCTGATCCAGCGCCGTTTGAAGGCGTGGGGGCTCGAGGTTGAAGGTCGCGTCGGGTGTCCCAGGGCCTGCCGTTCTCACGCGGTGTCATGCAATGCGCGGTGGGCCGGCCTGAGAGATGCGATTTCGCGCCTCGCCCCGTCGTGGCAGAGTGCGATTCTTAAGACGGTCTCGGGCGCCTGGCTCACATCAGGCCGCCTTCACGTACAGACGGGCGTCGGCGAGTGTCGCTTTCGGTGCAGGGAGCCGCCTCTGATAGCTGCGCCTGACACTTTTTCGCACTATTTGGAATGTAATGTTCTATGGTCGATCGCCTACCCGCCCCAGGCCGAGATTCCGAGTTGTGCAGTCTGTCGTCTTGGCCTTGGCGGATCACCCAGCCCATCCACAATTGAGGCTGTGGTCACTGCTTATCATATTTATAACTCTGCCAGAGTTTTGTGCCCGCCGCCCAACCCCTCTGAGGAAGCTTGGGAAGGCTACTTGTACG